TGGTCAATTTGTTTCTGTATATATGCGTATAAAACCTTTCCCTTTCCATTCTAGAAATCACAGAAGATATCCCCATGAAGACTTTGAATATGAAGACTGTGTATGTTTCTGTATTACCAACAACTGCAGAGAGCTAATACTGTGTCATTGCTGTGGTACCGTCAGCCTTTTCCTGGTTCATACCCATCCCTTACATGTACATACACATCGACTCACTGAAGATACTTCCTTTAGGTGCATGACTTATATGCTCCTTTTGGCCTGAAACTCAAGAGGGATTAAGTAACTTGAAACTTTACATAATGATCACACTTAACCTTAAATACCTATGCAGTTATGTTGGGAGAAGGTTATACTGTTACCTCAGCACCACAATTTCTGTACTTAAGTTCTTAAGCACAGACAGTAGATGTGATTTTAAATGGCATAGTATATATATATATATGTTTATCATTTTATGGACTTCTCAAGCCAATTTGAAATCTCCTTTTTGTTGGTGGTGGTGGTAGTGGTGGTGATAGTATGGTAGTTGTGGTTATGGGGCTTGACTCGGGACCTGGGCACTGTCCTTGATGTTTTCTGCTTAAGATTAGCACTCTACCACTTCTGCTTTTCTGGTAGTTAATTGAAGGTAAGTGTCACAGATTTTCCTGCCCAGGCTAGTTTTGAACCACAATCCTCAGATCTCAGCCTCCTGAGTAGCTAGATTACAGGCATGAGCCACCAATGCCCAGCTCCTTTTATCTTGTTTTATTTTTTGTCAGTTATGGGATTCTTACTCAGGACTTGGACACTGTCCCCGATCTTTTCTGCTCAAGGCTAGTGCTCTACCACTTTGAGCCACAGCTCCACTCCCTGAAATTTCCTAAACAAGTGATTATGTTTTATATTTCTGCTACCTGGGTTTTCCTGGGTAATTTAATGGAATATTTTAAGTTTCAACAGAGCAAAACAATAAGCAGACTCTTAGCAATATATGTGTGTGGGGGGGGGTAATTTTATTTTTTTCCACAGTTTAATGAAACTTGAAATGTTAAAAAAAATACTATCTATATTAAGATAATCTATTAAAACCAACATTACCTCTTCCCAAAATCCTGGGTAACAGTTTGAGTCCTTAGAGAAACAGATGCCAAGGCAAAATTAGATATGCCAGTATTTACTGAATGATAAGGGGATGGGGGAACAAGTATAGGTAGAGACCCCATCAGACAACAATGTGGGCTGGGCGCCGGTGGCTCACGCCTGTAATCCTAGCTACTCAGGAGGCTGAGATCTGAGGATCACGGTTCAAAGCCAACTCTGGCAGGAAAGTCTGTGAGATTCTTATCTCCAATAAACCACTCGAAAACCAGAAGTGGCGCTGTGGCTCAAGTGGTAGAGCACTCGCTTTGAGCTGAAGAGCGCAGAGACAGCGCCCAAGCCCAGAGTTCAAGCCCCACGACTGACAAAAAAACAATGTGGGTTTGACACTGAAAGAAAGGCAAGAAGATTGATTAGAAAAACTATAGAATACAATGAAACTCTGAAACTAATTCATGGTCAGACTAGAGGAGTCTCCAGATAAAGGTTCTATTTATTTAGTCTAGTTCAAAGTTTAGAAACAGTGAGTGTCCTAGCCTTGTATTTCTGCATTGATCAGTATCCAAGATCAGCCAGCGGGATTTGTGTCACTGGCATCAGTATGTCTGAGAGTAGAACAGCTATCCACATTACATTCTTTTGAAGAATGATCTGATCTGAATGATGCTCCTCAGTATACCCAAACACAAACCCACAAAAGTTGGAGAAATGAAGAAAAACAACAGCCAGATTTGGGAGAATTAGAAAGCAGATAAATGAGTATTAAATAAGTTGATAGATAGAAGAAAACATAAACAATTATAAACAAACAATTGAGGGATTAAGAAACATAGGGTCAGAATCCTCTGCACCAGCTGATGTCTAGGTAAAGATGAGATATAAATTTAGGGAAGACTGAACAATTCAAGTGTCTCCCCATTACCACACTGCTTGACAACACTGGCCACTTTGCATGTGAAGGTTTATCTTCTAGAGGGACAATAGAGTGATTGTGGCGATGGGTAGCACATGGGTAGCAGAATCACAATAAGTTCAAAACAGATATTTGCAAGTTTGGAGTTCTTCTCAACTCAATTCTTAGATTAAATAATTTGCAAGGACTCAGGATCCTTACTGAAAGGTATTTTATTAATGGTGTAATGGTTGATTTTGATTGTCAACTCCATTGGATTGAGAAATGCCTAGGAAACTAGTAAAACACACTTGGATGTATCTGTTGGGATGTTTCCAAAAACATCCATTCCGATTGGGGTCCTATTCTCCCCTATTCTCTCACCATCAGAAAACAGCACAATGTTAGTGGCTCACACCTGTAATCCTAGCAATTCAGGAGGCTGAGATCTAAGAATTGCAGTTCAAAGTCAGCCCAGGCAGGAAAGTTGTGAGACTCTTGTCTGGTGTAAACCACCAGAAAACCAGAAGTGGCACTGTGGCTCAAGTGGTAGAGCTGAAGAGCTGAAGGACAACACCCAGGCCCAGAGTTCAAACCCCATACTGACAAAAAAAAAAGTGAAAATGTTCTTGATCACACAGCAGAAATTAAATATTCAACATTGAGATCTAGGTGCTGGTAGCTTATACCTCTAATCCTAGCTACTCAGCAGACAGATCTGAAGATCAAGAATTGAAGTCATCTCAGGCCAAAAAGTCTATGAGGCTCTTATCTCCTATCAACCAGCAAAAAGCCAGAAGTGGAGGTGTGACTCAATGTGGTAGAGCACTAGCCTTGTTGAAAAACTTGAGGTCCCAAGGTCAAGCCCCAGTGTCTGCACAAAAAGAAAAACAATTAAAAAAGAAAATAACTTGGGCTGGGAAGGTGGCTCAGTGGTAGAGCACTTGCCTTGCATGCCTGAGGCCCTGGGTTCAATTCCTCAGCATCACATAAGCAAAAAGAAAAAAAGCCGGAAGTGGCACTGTGGCTCAAGTGGTAGAGAGCTAGCCTTGAGCTGAAGAGCTGAGGGACAGCGCCCAGGCCCAGAGTTCAGGCCCCACAACCAGACCCAAAAAAAAAAGAAAAGAAAACTGAACAGAATCCTTGGAAAATAATGTAAGGGAATTTTTCCAAATGCTAAAACAACTAAAAGTATAAGATAGGAGAGGAGGAATATTACAATTACTGAGTCTAAGAAGTCCTTTTTTTTTTTTTTTTTTTTTTTTGATTCGTTGTGGGGCCTGAACTGTGGGCATGGGCACTGTCCTTCAGCTTTTCAGCTCAGCTCAAGAATAGTGCTCTACCACTTGAGTCACAGCACCACTTCTGACTTTTTCTGTTTATGTGGTACTGAGGAATCAAACCCAGGGCTTCATGCATGCTAGGCAAACGCTCTACCACTAAGCTACATTCCCAGCCTACCTTTTCTTGATCTAAACAATTGGAAATACATAATAAAAGTAATTTATAATAAATCCAAGAACTGACATACTAATAGTGGAAAACCTTTAGTTCTAAAATCAGTAACATAAAGAAGCTCACTCTCACCACTTATATTCAACATTGTTCTAGAGGCTCTAGCCAAAGCAAGGGCAAAAAAGGAACAAAAAGCATTCACATTGAAACAGAAGAAATAAAATACCTTTCTCTACATATGATATAATCTTAGGTGGAAATCTCTAGGGCATGGTACACACAGCTGTAATCCTAGCTACTTGGATGGTGAAGACTGGAATGATTATGGGGAAAGCTGGTGAGGTCTCATCTCAGCAAATAAGTCCATTCATTCATTCTTGTAATCTCAGGTATGCATCAATCCTAAATAGAAAATCATAGCCCAAGGCTGTTCTGGGCAAAAAGCTTGCAACCTTATATGAAAGTAGAGCTAAAAGCTTCCAAGTGTAGTTTAGTGGTAAAGTACCAGCCTAGTAATCCCTGAGTCCAAACCACAGTACTGTGGGGGGAAGAAATCCACTAAAAAAAAGATACTTGTTACCTCGTAAATCCAACAAAGTTAAGCTATCAAAATGCACAAAAATAAATTGCATTTCTATGCAATGAAAAAGTAAAGAATTCGAGTTAAAAATCACATCAAAAGAGGATGAAATGCAAGACTGGAGATGTACATCAGTGACAGCACTTGCCTGCCAAGGCCATTGGTTGGATCCTCAGCATCAGGAAGGAGGAGCAGAATAAAATACATAAAATAATAAAATACACAATAAAGCAAGGAGGCAAAAGACCGGCTACACTGAAAACTTCTGGAAGTTACCAAATAAGGCACAAACAGATGAAGAGATACCCTTAAGTCGTGAATAGGAAGGTTTCGTGTTAAAATGTCTATAACTACCCAAAGTGATCGGTAGAGTTGCTAGGCTTTTTGCTTATGACGGGTGCCCTACTGCTGGAGCTACACCGCCACTTGCTACTTTTTTGCTCGTTAATTTGAGATGAGCCTCTCCGACTTTCCTGCCCTGGCTGGCTTAGAACCGCCATCGTCAGATCCATCCTCCTGAACAGCTAGGGTTACAGGTGTGAGCCCAGCACAGGACCCATCCTGGATACACGGTACGGAGATGCTCGCACAGAGCTGTGTGTTGTTTTTGGATGCCGTGTTTTGTGAATGCCGATTAGCCGGTTTGGGTTATCAGTGCTGAAGCTGCAAGGGCACTGCGGAAAATGTGGGTGGGTAACTCGTGGCAACAAGCTCTGGTGGTACCTTGGCACCTCCAGTGGCTCACCCCCACCGTCGCCGCGTCACTCCGAGCAGGGCCGCCTACAGACTGCAGTGTCCTCTGGGCGCCGCCATCTTGGCGCTCAACCTCAGCACCCAATCTGCAATGAGATTAGCGGAGCTCCGTGTTGACCGTACAAGCAGTTTCCGAGTGTGGTCCGTACAAGCAGTTTCCGAGTGTGGTCCGTACAAGCAGTTTCCGAGTGCGCATGCGCACCTGAAGCTCGCGTTCCGCCCCCCACCCCCAGGAATCCACGGGCTGCTGTTAAAATGAAGCCGGTGACGGTGTAGTTCTGGCCACTCCGGTCACGGCCTGGGGCAGAGAGCGCGGAGGGGAACAGGTGAGTGCAGGTGAGGCGTGCAGGGTGTGGAGCGTTCCGCGCTCCTCGAAGAAGAGTCTCCGCAGTCCGAGGTGCGCCCGGGGGGGGGGGGGAGGGGGGTGCCGTGGATGTTGGGTATGGGGGGGGGGGGGTGAGACCAGCTGAAGAAGTGGGAGCTGACGGCCATGGGGACCAAGTCACCGGACAGGGATGAGTGATGGCGACCCACTTAAGGTTCTGACTCAGGATCATGGCATATTCGCAAAGATCAAATTTATCTGTATATCTAGTTCTATGTATATATATGATCTTATGGGCTCGCATGGGAGTTCCTTTTTACCTAATTTTGCTCTCTTCCATATCATTAGTATTGCCCATGTCATTCCAATTATTATATTATTATATTATTTTGGTCGGTTGCTGGGCTTTGAACTCAGGCTGGGCGCTGTCCCTCAGCTCTTCAGCTCAAGGCAAGCACTTTACCACTTGAGCCACAGCACCATCTCCGGTTTTTTGGTGGTTAATTGGAGATAAGAGCCTAGGCTGGCTTTGAACCGCAGTCCTCAGATCTCAGCCTCCTAAGTAGCTAGGATTACAGGTATGAGCCACTGACTCCCGGCCAATTATTATAGTTATATGTCATTCTTTCTCTTCTTTTAAATATCAGGCATTTTAAGGGTTATCCACTTCATTGATCAATTTGAAACACTGGCTCTTTGTTGTGTTTATATTCTATAACTCATTTTATATTGATTTTATTTCTTGTGTAATTTTTTTTTTGGGGGGGGGTCCGGTCATAGGGGCCTGAACTCTGGGCCTGGGCGCTGTCCCTCAGCTCTTCAGCTCAAGGCTAGTGCTCTACCACTTGAGCCACAGCGCCACTTCCAGCTTTTTTCTTTTTGCTCATGTGGTGCTGAGGAATCGAACCCAGGGCCTCACGCATGCAGGGAAGCGCTCTACCACTGAGCCACCTTCCCAGCCCTTCTTGTGTAATTATTTTTATCTTTCTCCCTTTGCTGTAATTTTTTGTTCTTACCTTTATTTTCTAAAGTCTTGTATTAGATGCCCAGTTGCCCTAACTACATCACTGTGTGTGTGTGTGTGTGTTTGTGTTTGTGTGTGCAGAAGTATTTGGGGAAGCCTGACTAATGGTTCAGGTTTAGTTGTGTTGATGATGGGTTGCAGGTGTGTCTGGAGCTGGGACTCTCATGATGACTTGTGGAGATGGGTGGTGGATATTAATGTAAGCATGGAAGTTCATGATGGGGACATGAGATTGAATAAGGAGTGCCAGAACCACTAGAGTAGAAGCCTTGGAGGTTCTATAATCCCTAACTACGGTATGGGAAATGGTGATTCTGAGGCTTCTGCAGGTTGGGTCACTGCACCAACTGACAGTTGAAATGGGTTAATGAGTAAGAACTGATGGTGCCCCCACTGGGTGTAATTGGAGAGACTGTGGAGTCAGATAATGTCTGATATCATCATTGTACTTTGTGTACATTACAGATTTTATAATAACAATAAATAGGTATTGAAATGATACAAAATTACTATTAACTTTCTGAGATTAAATATTGATTTTTTGAAGATTTATATGACTCACTTAGGCGTAAGATATACAAGTAGAAGTATAAAGGTAAAGCAACATATTTTTGGTACCAGTACCAGGACCTTGAATTCTCAATTGAAAGCCTCAGCCCAGAAGACCACATGAACACCAAGTCACGTACAACAAAGTTTACTGGAAGCAAGCTGGCAGGCTGACCCTCCTGGGTAGCCATAGCACTTCTCCTTGAGCAAGGAGGTTTATATGGCTGGGGGGCTGGGGGTGGGAATTTCACTAGGGGTGGGGAGTACTCTGCAGTCTGGTTTGTGTGAGATAGAGTTTGTGAGGTGCATGAGTTGGGATTTATTGTGGCAGGTCTAAGGTTTATGGTTGCAGCTGCCTGTGTCACCCAATGAGATAAAGCCTGAGCCAGCTAATTTTGGGGAAGGGACTGTGTCACCAGATTTCAGGGAAAGGCCATGCTTTACAGCAGGGCCTAAGATAGCAGAGTGGCTCCTGAGATGGAGGACGTTAAGCTAACATCAGTTAGTGCTTTTTTGCTCAAGGCTGGTGTTGTACCACTTGACCCTCATCTCTACTTCCAGCTTTTTGGGAGGTAATTAAGAGATAAGAGTCTCATGGACTTTCCTGTCCAAACTAGCTTCCAACTATGATTTTAATATCTCATCCCTCTAAGTAACTAGGATTACAAGAGTAAGCCACCAGCACCTGGTATGTATACATTTCTCCTGCTAATTATTTAACATTTCCGTGTTAGTTGTTAAAAACATTTGGAGAGCAATGGCCATAGTCATTTGGTGACTTGGTTCCACTGTTAAGAATGTGATCGGCTAGCACATTCTAGCCAATTTCCACTGAAAAATTTCTTTTTAGAACTATGTATGAGAAATAACCTTGAGAAAACTAGAAAGCCCCCATTATTGGTGTTTTTGTGATTATTTTTCACAACTTAAGTTAGTCACAAAAACCTAGTGTAAAAACATTGGGAAGAAATTGTATGCTTTAAAGTTCTTTTGCTTTGTGCAGGCAAATAAGAATATAAACATTAAAACCACAACAAAGAGGATGGGAATGTGGCTTAGTGGTAGAGTGCTTGCCTAACATGCATGAAGCTCTCAGTACACACAATTCCTCAGTACCCCATAAACAGAAAAAGTCAGAAGTGGCACTGTGGCTCAAGTGGTAGAGTGCTACCTTTGAGGAAAAGAAGCTCAGGAGAGTGCTCAGGCCCTGAGTTCAAGCCCCAGGACTGGCACACACACACACACACACACACACACACACACACACACACACACACACACCAACAACAACAATGAAAACAGGAAAAAAATATAAGTATCAAATGTACCATAACCAAAGTATAATATTTTAAAATGTTACTGTTTTTCCTTCCAGATAACTTCTATGCACATGAATGAATTTACCTGTGTGTGTGTGTGTGTGTGTGTGTGTGTGTGTGTGTGTGTGTGTGTGTGTGTGTACACAGCGTACTATAAATAAAAAAGGTTTTATTTTAACTTTTTTGTCATTTTTTTTTCCGTCATGGGGCCTGAACTCTGGGCCTGGGCACCATCCCTGAGCTCTTCAGCTCAAGGCTAGCACTCTACCACTTGAGCCACAGCACCACTTCCAGATTTTTCTGTTTATGTGGTGCTGAGGAATCGAACTCCAGGGCTTCATGCATGCAAGGCAAGCACTCTACCACTGAGCCACCTTCCAAGCCTTTTTTTTTTTTGTCATTTTTTAAAGGAATATATTTTTAACAATGGAAATCACAATACAGGAAAGATTTAAATCAAAAACTCTGATTTTCATACAAACAACACAAACAAATTTCTTTCCTTCCTTCCTTCCTTCCTTCCTTTCTCTATCATGGGTCTTGAACTCTGGGCCTGGGCACTAGCCCTGAGCTCTTCAGCTCAAGGCTCTACCACTTGAGCCACAGCACCACTTCCAGTTTTCTAGTGGTTAACTGGAGATAAGAGTCTCATGATGTTCCTGACCGGGCTGGCTTTGAACCATGATCCTCAGATCTCAGCCTTCTGAGTAGTTAGGATTACAGATATGAACCTCTGGCACCTGGCAACATGACCAAATTTCTAAAGTTGGTATTACATCTCAAAATTGTCCCAGTTCTTAAAAAAAAAAAAAAAAGAGGAAAATACACGTGAACATGCCTTATAGTATAGTAAACCAAAAAGCAAGAATTAACAAGCATGCCAATGTTTTTACTTTGAATTGTAGACATAGTCCCTATATCTGAGTTTCACAGAAGAGCATGTTTCTTAACATGCATCTGAAATTTTCAGTGTATTGTCATATTTATGAACAACATTTAACAAAGTGAAAACTGCTTTAACCTAAATATGCTCGTTGATTAGGTACACTCCTGCAACATAGCTAATCTGAGGAAAGATGAAAATTGTTATGGTCAATACTGAACTTTTTTTACTGTGTCGTAAGTGTATGTTTCAGTATTCAGAATTACTAAGCTTAAAGTTTTAGACAATTTTAACTTCCACTTTACAGTAAACATGAATCACAAGCCTGTAATTCATAACTGTTAAACTTAATTTTGTTTTCTTGAAAGAGAAAAAGAAAGAGGAAGGAAAGGAGGGAGAGAGGGAGGGGAGGGAAGGAAGGAAGGAAGGAAGGAAGGAAGGAAGGAAGGAAGGAAGGAAGGAAGGAAGGAAGGAAGGAAGGAAGGAAGCATGCTGGTACTGGGGCTTAAAACTGGCACTGTACCACTTGAGCCACAGCTCCACTTACAGTTTTTTTGTGGTTAAATGGAGATAATAGTGTCATGGACTTCTCTGAGCTAGCTATTATCCTCAGATCTCAGCCTACTGAGTAGCTAGGATTACAGATGTGACCCATCAGTACCCAGATTATATTTTAATTTTTACTTGGTATTTATAGTTTTTCTATAGTATTTTAATTTCATGTAACAGTCTGTGTTTTGGAATTGTGTATAATAGCATTCCACACCATTTAGTGCTAAGGTGTTTCTAACCTTAGTTAATAACTAAGCAGTTATTGTTGTGGTAAACCTCCTGCCTTTAAGTCCTTATGCAATCTCAGATGATTTGTCAATTGATGTAGTTCTAGAAAGGTGTGGCTTAGCCTGTAATCAATCCTAGCTACTCAGGAGGCTGAGATCTGAGGATCATGGTTTGAAGGCAGTCCAGGCAGAAAAGTCCATGAGACTCTTATCTCCAATTAACCAACAAAAAGCTGGAAGTCCAGCTGGAGGTACAGCTCAAATGGTAGAGCACCAGCCTTGATTTAAGGCCAAGTGAGATCAGGATGCCCTGAGTTTCAAGCCCCAGTACTGGCACACACACAAAAAAGGAAGGGATGCCTATGTTTGAGGCACTTAGGCTTCAAAGGATGGCTGTGTTCGTGTATGACACTGCCACACTTTCTCTTCTCACCTGCACTGCTCTGTTTTCTCAGATCTCTGCCCCTTTTCCAGAAGAGCCAGCAATGAACAAGTCCCTGGTGAGTTCTTATTTGTTTCATCTATTTGTTGTTTTGTTTTTCTTGTGGATTCTAGGAGGCTTCTAACACACCATATAGTAAGATAGACCAGTATATATAAATAAAAACCTAAGATCAGAGAAAACAAGAAGAAACTATCAGCTCCAAGTCAAACTGGAAGATAAAGACTTGTGAGTCTTGTGGTTGTCACACATGGCAACAAACTTTGAACTATACAATTGTCTTTGATCTTCCAATAGTGGCAATTAGAGACGTGGGATATATTATTAAAACATAACTCACCAGTGATACTGATTTCCTGGCTCTTGATATTGGAGAAAAATAATTTGTGTGTGTATGTCAGTACTGGAGCTTGAACTTAGGGCCTCCTGGTGTCATTCATTGGTTTTGTTTTCTTTTTGGTTGGTCATGGGTCTTGAACTCAAGGCCTGGGTGCTATTCCCTGAGCTTTTGCACTCAAGGCTAGTGCTCTACCACTTTGAGCCACAGCACTACTTCCAGTTTTCTAGTGGTTAATTGGAGGTAAGAATTTCACAGATTTTCCTCCCCAGGCTGGCTTCAAACCATGATCCTGAGATCTGAGCCTCCCAAGTAGCTAGGATTACAGGCATGAGCTACCAACATCTGGCTTGTTATGGATTTTTCCATCATATTTATAAGAGCTATTGCCCTTGCTCTTTTCTCTTGCTGTGTTGTTTTTGGTTTGGATATCATGGTAAAATTTAATTCATAAATGAGTGGTTTTATATTATTCTGCCAGAGACTAATTTGTGTTTACTTTTTTGTACTTTGTCCAATTTTTTGGACTTTTCTAATCAAGGCAATCTGACCTCATAGAATTAATTAGGAAATACTCCCTTCTCTGTTTTCTGAAATAGATTCTATAAAATTTCTGGGTTTAGCCGGGCGCTGGTGGCTCATGCCTGTAATCCTAGCTACTCAGGAGGCTGAGATCTGAGGATCATGGTTCAAAGCCAGCCCGGGCAGGAAAGTCTGTGAGACTCTTAGCTCCAATAAACCACTAGAAAACCGGAAGTGGCACTGTGGCTCAAGCAGTAGAGCGCTTGCCTTGAGCTGAAGAGCTGAAGGACAGCGCCCAGGCCAGAGTTCAAGCCCCACAACCGACTAAAAAAAAAAAAAAAATCTGGGTTTTTTCAGGGAGTGTGGGTAGGGGGAAGTATTGGTGGTATGCTAGGATTGAAACCAGAGCCTCATGCATACTAAGCAAGGCCTCTACCACTGAACTATATTCCTGGCTTTTGGGCTATTTCTTTACATATTTGGCAGAATTCTCCGGTGAAACAATGTATGCCCAGAGATCCTTTTTTTGGAAGTTATAAAGGTACAAATTCAACTTCTTTAATGTTTATAATATTGTTTACATTTTCTATTTAATACTTTGTGTGTGTGTGTGTGTGTGTGTGTGTGTTTGTGTGTGTGTGTGTTGTAGTGAGGCTTGAACTCAGGACCTCTTGCTTTCACTTAGCTGTTTTTTTTTTCCTTAAGTCTGGCACTCTACTACTTGAACCACAGCTCCACTTCCAGCTTTTTGGTGATTAATTAGAGATGGGCATCTCACAGACTTTTCTGCTGGGGCTGGTTCAAACATCAATCCTCAGACCCTAGCCTCCTGAGTAGCTTGGATTACAGGTATAAGCCACAAGCACTCTACCACTGAGCCACTTTCCCAGCTCCATAAGCACTTTTTAAATTATAGTACTCTTAGTGAATTTAAAGGGTCATCTCTTTGTGATTTCTGACTTACAGTTCCCTGAGATGGCTAATGGTGCTTTATTATTCCATGTCCTTTAGCTGTTTATATGTCTTTTATTCTTTTTTCTTTTTTTAATTCCATCATGAGGCTTGAACTCTGGGCTTGGGTGCTGTCCCTGAGCTCTTCAGCTCAAGGCGAGTGCTCTACCACTTAAGCTACAACATCACTTCTGGTTTTCTGGTGGTTTATTGAAGAGAAGAGTCTCATGGACTTTCCTGCCCTAGCTGGCTTCTAACTGTGATTCTCAGATCTCAGCCTCCTGAATAGCTAGGATTACAGGCATGAACCACTGGTGTCCAGCTTAAAAGACTATTTATTACTTACTTTTAAATTTGTTTTTAGTCCCTTGGTCAATAGTGACAACAAATATAAAAATTTATTTATGGATTCTTATTTATGTTCCATTGTTCTATGTCTACCCATATATCAGTACTATACTGTTTTGAAAAAAACAGCCATTTTTTTTGTTTGCCTTGAACTTGCTATGTAGTAATCCTCCTGCCTCTGCTTCCCAGAATGGGAATGTATTTGTGTTAGTACTGGGGCTTGAACGCGGGTTCTTGTGCTCTTGCTTGGCTTTCTGGCTCACCCACAGTCTCCCATTTAATCTGTGTGTTCATTTCCAGCTTTTTGCAGTTAATTGAAGATTCAAGTCCTCTTGGATTTATCTGCCTATCAGAATGGCTCCAAATAGGATCCTCAAATCTCAGCCTGCTAAGTAACTAGGATTGTAGGTGGGAGCCACTGCTGTCTACCTTAAACAGCAAATTTTAATGGGTTTTGGTTTTTGTTTTTGTTTTTGGGTCCGGTCGTGGGGCCTGAACTCTGGGCCTGGGCGCTGTCCCTCAGCTCTTCAGCTCAAGGCTAGCGCTCTACCACTTGAGCCACAGCTCCACTTCCGGCTTTTTTCTTTTTGCTTATGTGGTGCTGAGGAATCGAACCCAGGGCCTCAGGCATTCAAGGCAAGCGCTCTATCACTGAGCCACCTTCCCGGCCCCTTAATGGTTGTTTTTTGTTTTTGTTTTTGTTTTTTTGGTCCGGTGGTGGGGCCTGAACTCTGGGCCTGAGCACTGTCCCTCAGCTCTTCAGCTCAAGGCTAGTGCCCTACCACTTGAGCCACAGCGCCACTTCTGGCTTTTTTCTTTTTGCTTATGTGGTGCTGAGGAATCGAACCCAGGGCCTCAGGCATGCAAGGCAAGCGCTCTACCACTGAGCCAACTTCCCAGCCCCTAATGGTTGTTTTTAAAGAACAAATTAACTTAGTTGATCATTGAATGTGAAATGAATGTCATGATATATTTCTTTTATTGAATGAGCTATTATTAGAATATGGCATACAGAGAAAAATGCATAGAAATATGTACAGCTTGGGAACTTTTTTTTTTTTTGGTCAGTCGTGGGGCTTGAACTCTGGGCCTGGGCGCTGTCCTTCAGCTCTTCAGCTCAAGGCGAGTCTCTACCACTTGAGCTACAGCGCCACTTCCGGTTTTCTGGTGGTTTATTGGAGATAGGAGTCTCACGGTCTTTCCTGCCCGGGCTGGCTTTGAACCGCGATCCTCAGATCTCAGCCTTCTGAGTAGCTAGGATTACAGGCGTGAGCCACCAGCGCCCGGCTCAGCTTGGGAACTTTTTATAGCTTATTCCTGGATAACTGACACACTAATTTGAAAAAGAACTACTGTAGCATGATAATTTCAACACAATTTTTCAATGTAAATGTAGGTGTTTAATGGGAACTTAAATATCATATACCGTTAAGTGATTCCTTTTTTTTTTTTTTTTTGGTCTTGGAGCTTGAACTTGGCCTGAGTGCTGTCCCTCAGCTCTTCAGCTCAAAGCTAGCACACTACCACTTGAGCTACAGCACCACTTCTGGTTTTCTGGTGGTTTATTGAGAAATAAGAGTTTCACTAGGACTTTCCTACCCGGGATGGCTTTGAACCTCGATCCTCAGATCTCAGTCTCCTGAGTAGCTAGGATTACAGGCATGAGCCACTGGCACCTGGCTGCGTTAAGTGATTCCTAATTGGGTATCATTAGTTCATGTCTGTGTTTGTAGCTATTGAAGAGGCTGAGATCTGAAGATCACAGTTCAAAGCCAGCCCAGATGGACATGTTTGAAGGACCCTTATCTCCTATTAACCACCAAAAGCTAGAAGTAGAGGTGTGGCTCAAGTGGCTGAGTGCCAGTTTTGAGAGAAAAAGCCAAGCTATAGCACAAGGCCTTGAGGTTCATGCTCCAGTTTTGGCGCGCACACACACACACACACAGAGTCAGATACACATACAAGTGAGGTCTTGAACACCTTGTTTCAATGCTGCAGTCTTGATCCTTTCTGTGAGATAATTATTTGTTTTTATTCTTTTTTTCAGGGATCAGTGTCCTTCCAGGATGTCCTTGTGACCTTCAGCAGGGAGGAATGGCAACACCTGGACCTTGCTCAAAAAAACCTGTACAGGGATGTGATGCTGGACAACTATTTCAACCTGATCTCCGTTGGTAAGTGCAGCCCTACCGCTGTATAACAACTTCACCTACACACATTATTGTACTTTCCTTCTTAGTGGGATTTTTGAAATCTGAGTTTTCTTAGGTATGTGGAACTTCTAAAATCTGTAGGGCATTTGAAGTGACGGTTTTATTTTAATTTTGTCCCATATTCTTAATAATATCTCTTGGCTTTGGTGAATATACTTCTGTTCCCAGTAAACATCTCTGGGGGACACATGGCCTGTTTCATTGCATGGCCTCTGAAACCAAGTCCCTTATTCTTTCTTGTACATAGAGTGTCAAGTTCCCAAACTGGAATACATCTTCAACTTGGAGCAAGGAAAAGAGCTATGTGTGTTAGATGGTAAAATCTCAAGTCCAAGATGTTTAAGTAAGTCAAGAGCCAAGAACTCAGAAGATAGTACAATGGCCCAGCACTTGTGCTGGGAAAGGTTGAATATTTTCAATGCCAAGAATAGGACTTTTCCTTCGTATGTTTGGAACTTTCAGAATTGCTTGGATAGTGTTGATATAGACCCTTGAATGTTTAAATACTGCTTTCCAAAGCTACATTTCTTCCAATGCCTCCTTTGCTTGACTTTTTAAATTCATTTATTCATCCATTCATTCATTCATCTTTTTTTTTTTTTTTTTGATTGTGAGGCTTAAATTCAGGACCTGGGCACTGTCTCTGAGCTCTTTTTGCTCAAGGTTTGCACTCTACCATTTTGAGCCACAGCTCCACTTCTGGTTTTTGACTGGTTAATTGGAGATAAGAGTCTCACAGACTTTCCTGCCCAGGCTGTGATCTCAGCCTTCTAAGTAGTTAGGATTCTAGGCATGAGTCCCTGGCACCTAGCTTTGCCTCACTTTTTTGGAGGGTGGAGGAGAGGTAAGTCGTGGGGCTTGGACTCTGGGCCTGGGTGATGTCCCCGAAACCACTTGACCCACAGCGCCACTTCAGATTTTCTGGACTTCCCTGCCTGGGCTAGCTTTGAACCATGATCCTCAGATCACAGCCTCCTGAGTAGCTAGGATTACAGGCGTGAGCCACTGGCGCCAGGCTGCTTCACTTCTTATGAGAGAATTTACTATAATGTGCTTAATTTACTTTGGCAAAACCCTAGATTATCTAGTATCCTTTTTTCTTTTCTTTCTTTTTTTTCTTTTGTGTGTGTATGTGTGTGTGTATACCCACACATGTAGCTTTAACTCAGGGCCTTACTTTCTTGCTTGGACTGTTTGCTCAAGACTAGTATTCTACCACTTGAGCCACAGCTCTACTTCCAGCTTTTTTGTCGCTAATTGGAGATAAGAGTCTCATGGCTTTTTTCTGCCTGGGCTGGTTTTGAAGCACAACTCTTAGATCTTAGTCTCTTGAATAGCTAGGATTACAGGGATGAGCCACCACCACCTGGCCCATTGGTTGGTTTTGATGAGGTCACACTTTATGCCTGGGCTTGGGCTGCGACCCTCCTGCTTGTGCTTCCTGGTGTCACTGGGGATAACAGCTGTAGTTTTCTGCACCCAGCAACTATGCTTCCCCTATGGCTGAGGAGCACCACTATGCCCAGCTAGCATAGTGGTTGAGAGTGCATCTTGTAAATTTCTTTTTGCCAGGACTCGCCTTGAACTTCCATCCCCTGATCTCTACCTCTCAAGTTACTAGTACTACAGACTTGAGCCAGCATCCCTGACTTAGCTTCTTTTCTTACATATTCGAACACTGACAGATCTACCTTCTGTACAAACCATGGTGTGCCACACTCCTGCTCATTGTTTTCTTTCATAGGCTCTATTTTCCTTCTGTGTCACTTAGGAATGAGCTTTTTATTATCTCTTTGTGCTCTTCTCTAACTTGACTTTGAGGGCACTTGGACATTTGCTTCTTCCTTGGCCAGTGCAACATAGCATAAACTTAATCTTGTACTTCTTGATAGGTCACAGCAGCTTTTATACCTCATGTGCAAGATATCGAGTTATGCTTATTGCTTTAGTTTGTGGTTGATGTCATCATGAATATGTTTAAGGCTCCCTCTTACTTGATTTATTCCTTTCCATCCACTTTCCCCATACTTATTTTTCTCCTTCACAGAGGTGTCTACTCTAGTGCATGTACTATTTGTCCTTGAATTTGTGGGGTATAGGTAAAATCTAGAATGTTGGTTGTTTCTTTTTTTGTTTTTGTTTTTATTTTGGCCATGGGGCCTGAACTCTGGGCCTGGGCACTGTCCCTCAGCTCTTCAGCTCATGGCTAGCACTCTTCCACTTGAACTACAGCACCACTTCTGGATTTTTCTGTTTATATGGTGCTGAGGAATGCAACCAAGGGCCTCATGCATGCAAGGCAAACACTCTACCACTGAGCCACCTTCCCAGCCCCTAGAATGTTGGTATTTGTAGTTTATAGAAATGGTCAGGCTGATATCAACTTTCCTACCCAGGGATGTGCCTGTAATCCTAGAGATGATGGTAAGCCTAAAATAAAATGATTGGAGGTACTGGAATACACCCAGGCTGGAAATAATATCAATACTAACAACCAGTGAAAAGGAGGGTTAGAAACATGACTCAGATATCTTAACATCCTAACAAATCCAAATAAGCCCTGAGTTCAAATCTCTGATAATGCAAAACACAAAAAAGCAAATAGTTTAAATGAGCTAATATAAGACTTAGAAGAATACATCTATACTATGGTTTATCGTAAGTGCAATGGGTTACTTTCATAGCCATATATTGTCATACTATATTTATATATGAAATGATACACTTATATTTATATATATATATTAAATATCTATGTTATATTTATATAGCACTTCACCCATTTCTTGTTTTTCACCATTAATTAATTTAATGTATCCTTACATGTCCTACTAATTTTTTGTGTGTCAGTTGTATCTTTTCTTTCTTTTTAGATGAGGCCATTGGTTTTGAGAATCTACAACAGGGACCCTGTGAAGCAGTTTCTTTCCAGTCTGAGAGACTTAGTCTTTTCCAAGGACATGACTCTTATTGTGCTATTAGAGAATTGTGGCAAGATGAGAAACAGAGAGGGAGATCTGAGAAAAAACAGAGCAAACCTGGAAGTTGTGTTTCCTTCTGCAACAAGGCAACAAGAGCCTGTGAGAGGGACTGTGAACGTGAGGACACTGAGAAAATGGTTCCTGCATACACACACCTCGCTCCTTCAGAAAAAAGATTCCCTTCCTGTGACTCATGTGGAGAGAGTTCAGAGCCTCTTGGAAGCTTATATAATCACAGCAGAAACAATCTGACAGAAACTGTTGAAGAGATGATGGAATATACTGATATTTTTACACGTATGAATTTTCCCACAACTGTGAATGCTCGTGAAGACAGACAGTGTCAGCCCCTTCTGAGTCAAAAGCGGGCTCTCACTCAGCATTGGAAAGTTCCTACTGAGGATAACCTTTATTCATTTTCTGACTATGTGAAACTTTTCACCCAAGACTTGCCTCTCTCTAAGCATCAAGAAATTTGTGCTGAAGAAAAACAGCCTGAGTGTCACAAACATGAGAGAGTCTTTGCTCAGAAATCTCAACTTGCTATATCTCAGAGAATTTGTATAGGTGGGAAACCTTGGATATGTACTGAATCGGAGGATTTTTCCCTTGTGTCAAACCATCAGAAAACTCAAAGTGAGGAAAATTCCCATGAACGTGCTAAGTATGGAAGAACCTTTATTCAGAACTCTGATCTGCTCAGATGCCCAAGAAATCCTGCAGGAGAAAAACATTATGAATACAGCAAATGTGGGGAAAGCATCTCTCAGAATTCAATCCTCAAAACACATAAAAACTTATATACCACCAATCAACACTTTAAATGTACTGAATGTGGAAAGGCCTTCACAAGAAAATCAACACTAAGTATGCATCAGAAAATCCATACAGGAGAAAAACCCTATGTATGCACTGAATGTGGGAAGGCCTTTATCCGGAAGTCACATTTTATCACACATGAGAGAATTCATACTGGAGAGAAACCTTATGAATGCAGTGACTGTGGAAAATCCTTTATAAAAAAGTCACAACTCGACAGGGGGCTGCTTGCAGATCACCAGGTACCGGATTGCAGAACAGCGGATCGCCAGGAACAGAGAAACCTACCAGCCGGGAGTCTCCAGGAGGATCCCACCCCACCCATCACTCTCCACCGGAGCGGAGAGGCTCCATCCCGCCAAAGCCGCCCGGCACCAGCAGCGCCACAAAGGGACCTGTCGCGATCGCAACCACCCGGCGGGGGGCCGCCCAACCCAGCCCGCAACCACCCCAACTGAACTCGGACTGCAACAACAACTGACAGACTGCAACAACAACTGACGACCTACAGGGTGAGTACCCATCAGGGGACAGGGAATCCATCAAGGGAGACCAGAGCTGGAGGGAATCCCCAGACCCTGACCTAGACTCCCTACCCCAACACCCGGACCACAGGACCCACTAAAACTGGGAACTGTTCGAGAGCCCCACCAGCCGGTGGAGCACACTCTGCTGGCCAGGCCAGAGCAAGAGCGCCCCGGGAAGGGAGCTTAAATGCTCAAGCCAGGAACAGTGCCCCTGGGTCAAGACTACCAACAGTAGAAGAAATTTGAACTGTGTCCTCCAGGCTGCATAACCAAGGTGGTATACACATTAGCACAGGCCTAACGAGCGCGCTCCAGGCTGGGGCCGGAACCAGGCCAGGGGACCGGCGCCTGAACAAAGCAAAAAGGGTCAGAAGTGGGGCTGTGGCTCAAATGGTAGGGTGCCAGCCCTGAGCTGAAGAGCTGAGGGACAGCACCCAAACCTAGAGTTCAAGCCCACAACCAGCCCAAAACAAACAAAAACACATCAGGAGCCCATAGCAGACTCCAGTATTTGGGAGAGTGCATCCAGAGCATCTGATCTTCCCAAGAGCACCCGCAGGAGCAAACACAAGCAGTCTAGGCTGCTCAACCCTTCCAAAGGCGGGAATTGCTACAGCAGAGAGCTGAGAATCCTAAGTGAATAGCAGCTGGAAATAGGCTCCCAACAGAATCCAGATCAGACACAGACTCTCTCTACCAATAGAGAATCAGCAACCAAGCAAAGACAGACACACCAAAACAAGATTGAAGAGCAGTCTCCTGAACCCCCATGCGAAAATCACAGAGAAAAATCACAAGGTTTACCACTACCCAGGACAGCAAGCTCACCTCAAAAGCCAGCAGCCACGCAGGGGAGAGCCCCAGTGGGAGCAAAGCAGGAATGGAAGACAAAAACTACATCCAAGGGTTGCTGGAGGCAATGACTCAAGAAATAAAGCGAGAAATGGATCAGAAATTGAAAGAGCACAAGGATGAACTATCAAAAGATATACAGGATATCAAACAAAAATTGGATGCAAAAATAGAAGCTGCACAAACCTCAGTAAGAAGTGAGATAAACGCCAAATTAGAGGTAATGCATACTGATATCACCTCATTGAGAGGTGAGATCAGTACTCTGAGAACCAACATTGAATCCATAAAGGGATCCATTTCCATCATGCAAACCACAATAGAAGCCACGGTCAACAGAGTGAATGAAATGGAAGGTAGAGTGTCAGATACAGAAGACAGAATACACCAACTGGACCAAAAAGTGACAGATATGGAAAAATCACTCAAATTAAACCAAAGGGAAATTCAAGAGCAAGCAGATAATGCTAAAAAATTTAACCTTCGCATAATCGGAGTGGACGAAGGTGAGGAATTCCAGAGCAAGGGAATGCAACACCTATTTAACAAGATAGTCAATGAAAATTTTCCCCACCTCAAAAACGACCATCTTAACTACATCACAAAAGCTTATCGAACACCCAACAAGCAAGATCCCAGGAGAAACACTTCTAGGCACATAATAGTAACAATGATGGATCTGAATAATAAGGAAACAATCCTGCATGCAGCAAAAATGAAGAAGGAGCTATACTACAACGGGAAAAAAATTAGAATCACTGCAGATCTCTCCACACAAACAATGAATGCAAGAAAAGCCTGGGAAAGCACCATACGAGCCCTGAGAGCCAATAACTGCCAACCCAGACTGATATACCCGGCAAAGCTAGCATTCACATTCGATGGAGAACTGAAAACTTTTAATAGCAAAGAAAAACTAAATGAATACATAAACATTAAGCCAGCATTACAAAGAATTCTAAGAGGGGGGACACAACCTGAAGAAAGCAACCAGGAACTGGGACCTGCCCCAAACAGGCATTACTCAAAGTCTAACTGAGCAAGCACAGGAGGAAAGGAAAGAAGAAAAACTTAGGAAAACGGAATGGCAGGGACAACAATGCATCTCTCTATACTTTCTCTTAATATAAATGGGCTGAATTCGCCAATTAAAAGAAAACGAACTGAGGACTGGATCAGAAAACAAGACCCATCCATCTGTTGCCTTCAGGAGACCCACCTCTCAGCCAAACATACAAACAAACTCAGAGTGAAGGGGTGGAAAAGGACCTACCAATCAAATTCCCCCAATAAGAAAGCAGGTGTAGCTATCCTGATATCTGACAAAATAAACTTTTCATTAAAATCAGTACAGAAAGACAAGGACGGACATTACATATTAATAAAGGGAACAATCCAAGAGGAGGATATAACCATCATCAACTTATATGCCCCAAATATCGGTGCACCCAGATATGTTAAACAAATGCTCTCAAACTTACAGAATAAAATAGATCCCAATACGATAATACTAGGAGACTTTAACACGCCACTCTCACCAAAGGACAGGTCTACCAACCAGAGGATTGGCAAAGAAGCTACCGAATTAAGTGAGGCCATACTTCAAGCGGAATTAACTGACATCTACCGAGTATTTCACCCTAAAACAACACAGTACACATTCTTTTCAGCAGCTCATGGAACTTTCTCCAAAATAGACCATATCATAGTTCATTCAAGGAACTTAAGCAAATACAAAGGGATCGACATAATCCCCTGTATCCTATCTGACCACAGTGGAATCAAGCTAGCTCTCAATAACAAAGCATACCGCAGAAATTTCTCTAATACATGGAAATTGAACAGCACACTCCTTAACAAGGCCTGGGTAACAGAAGAGATCAGAGAAGAAATAAAGCATTTCCTAGAACTCAATGAAAATGAAAACACCTCACAAAGAAACTTGTGGGACACAGCAAAAGCAGTCCTGAGGGGCAAATTTATTGCCCTCAGTGCCCACATCAAGAGAATGGAGACAGACCAAGTAAATAATCTCATGTTGCAACTAAAACAGCTAGAAAAACAAGAAAAAATGGGACCTAAAGCTACTAGACGAAGCCAGATAACCAAATTGAGAGCAGAGATTAACCAATTAGAAAATCAGAAAACCATAACCAAAATAAACCAAACAAAAAGCTGGTTCTTTGAAAAAATAAACAAAATTGATGGCCCGTTGGCAAGATTAATTAAAAAAAGAAGAGAGGAAACCCATATTAATAGGATTAGGGATGCCACGGGAAACATCACAACACGTACCCAAGATATCCAAACAATTCTAACAGACTACTTTCAAAAGCTATACTCTCTAAAGGAAGAAAATCTGGCGGAAATGGATGCATTTTTAGAGAAATACAAGTTACCCAAACTGAGCAAAGAAGAAGTTAACCAATTAAATAAGCCAATATCCTATAATGAGATACAGGAAGCTATCAAAAGTCTTCCAACAAAAAAAAGCCCAGGACCAGATGGATTCACAGCAGAATTCTATAAGACCTTTAAAGAAGAACTAATACCCATACTCCTCAAGCTCTTCAGAGAAACAGAGAAGGAGGGAGCTATCCCAAACTCATTCTACGAAGCCAATATCACACTCATCCCCAAACCAGGCAAAGACCCAACCAAAAAGGAGAATTACAGGCCAATCTCCTTGATGAACACAGATGCAAAGATCCTTAACAAGATTCTAGCTAACAGAATCCAGAAACACATAAAAAAAATAATACACTATGATCAGGTAGGCTTCATCCCAGAGACACAGGGATGGTTTAACATACGTAAGTCAATAAATGTAATCCAGCATATCAACAGAGCCAAGGTCAAGAATCACATGATTATCGCCACAGATGCAGAAAAGGCCTTTGATAAAATTCAACATTCATTCATGCTAAAAGCTCTGGAGAAAATAGGAATAGAAGGAACATTTCTAAAAACAATAAAAGCCATTTATGACAGACCAATAGCCAATATTATACTTAATGGGGAAAAGCTACAACCAATCCTCCTAAAAACAGGAACAAGGCAAGGATGTCCACTGTCTCCACTCCTCTTCAACATAGTCCTAGAACCCTTAGCCAGGGCAATAAGGCAAGAAAAAGACATTAAAGGGATCCGCATAGGGAAAGAAGAAGTGAAACTATCCCTTTTTGCAGACGACATGATACTATACCTCCACGATCCCAAAAACTCCATCCCCAAACTTTTAGAAATCATAAGTCACTTCGGCAAAATAGCAGGATACAAAATAAACCCACAAAAATCAGTTGCCTTCCTATACACTGATAACGCACAGGAAGAGAGGGAAATAAAGGGAGCAACCCCATTCACAATAACCTCCCAAAAAATAAAATATTTAGGAATTAACCTAACCAAAGATGTAAAAGAACTATTTAATGAGAACTATAAAAAGTTAAAGAAAGAAATTGCAGAAGACACTAGGAAATGGAAAGACCTCCCATGCTCCTGGATAGGCCGACTTAATATAGTAAAGATGGTGATACTTCCAAAATTAATATACAAATTCAATGCAATTCCTATTAAAATCCCAATGACGTACATCACTGAAATACAGAAAACAGTCCAAAAATTTATATGGAACAACAAAAGACCTAGAATAGCCAAAACAATTCTAGGGGATAAAGACAATATGGGAGGGCTATCCATGCCGAACTTCAAACTCTACTACAGAGCTATAATCACAAAGACAGCATGGTACTGGCACAAAAACAGACCCGAAGACCAATGGAACAGAATAGAAGATCCAGATATAAATCCACAGGCCTACAGCCAGCTGATATTCGACAAAGGAGCCAAAGACATACAATGGAAGAAACACAGCCTCTTCAACCGCTGGTGCTGGGAAAACTGGGCAGCCACATGCAGAAAACTAAAAGTGGACCCCAGCCTATCACCATGCACCAACATCAACTCAAAATGGATTAAAGACCTTAACATTAAACCTGAATCTCTGAAACTACTGCAGGACAGAGTAGGAGAGACACTTGAACTAATAGGCACAGGAAGGAACTTCCTGAACAGAGTCCCAGGGTCACAACAAGTTGGAGAGAGACTCGACAAATGGGACTACCTTAAAATAAAAAGCTTCTGCACAGCTAAATCTATCGCAACTAAGCTAGAAAGACAACCAACTAATTGGGAAAAAATATTTACCAGCAATATATCAGACAAGGGGTTAACATCCTGTATATACAGGGAACTCAAGAAACTAATCCCTCCCAAACCTAACAAACCAATTACTAAATGGGCAAGGGAACTAAAGAGGGACTTCTCAAATGAAGAAATAAAAATGGCAAAGAAACACATGAGGAAATGTTCATCATCCCTGGTGGTGAAGGAAATGCAAATAAAGACAACCCTGAGATACCACCTTACCCCAGTCAGAATGTCCCACATCCACAAATCAGCCAACGACAAATGCTGGAGGGGATGTGGAGAAAGAGGAACCCTATTACACTGCTGGTGGGAATGTACACTTATACAACCACTTTGGAAAGCAGTCTGGAGGGTCCTTAGAAAGCTAAAGATTGACCTCCCTTACGACCCAGTCATACCACTTCTAGGCATCTACCCTGAACAACAGGAACCAATATACAAGGACACGTGCACCTCCATGTTTATTGCAGCACTGTTCGCAATAGCTAGGATATGGAAACAACCTAGGTGCCCCACCACAGATGAATGGATCCAAAAATTGTGGTATCTATACACAATGGAATATTATGCAGCCATTAGAAATGACAAAATAATGGCATTTGCAGGGAAATGGATGGAGCTAGAAGGAATCATGTTGAGCGAGGTAAGCCAAGAACGAAGAGACAAACGGTACATGGTCTCCCTCATAAGTGGATGCTAAATCCAAAAGGTTAGTGATACGACAAAACTAACAGGACTTAAGAAACAAAGAACTCCCGCTCATCTGGTTGAACCACTACTAAATATCCTCATGCTGCTGATCACAAATATGGTATATAACATGTGAACACTGTTATATATTACAGACTGTGGTAGACAATTTGCTCCAGGGAAGTTAGAATGAACTTGTGACTTTGAAATTATGTAATCATTTAATCACAATCAAAAAAAAAAAAAAAAAAAAAGAACCTCGGGGAAGGGAGGGAGGGAGGGGATGGTAGGGGGAAAACAATGGAGGGGGTAACAATGTTCAAGAGGAAGTGTACTCATAACCTCACTCATGTAACTGTGACCCTCTGTATAGTAGCTTTACAATAAAAAAAAAAAAAAAAAAAAAAAAAGTCACAACTCCATGTACACCAGCGAATCCACACAGGAGAGAATCCTTTTATATGTTCAGAATGTGGGAAGGTCTTCACTCACAAGACAAATCTCATTATACACCACAAAATTCACACTGGAGAGAGACCCTATATATGTACTGTGTGTGGAAAGGCCTTTACTGACAGGTCAAATCTCATTAAGCACCAAAAAATTCACACTGGAGAAAAACCTTATAAGTGCAGTGACTGTGGAAAATCATTCACTTGGAAGTCACGGCTCAGGATCCATCAGAAATGCCATACTGGAGAGAGACATTATGAATGCAGTGAATGTGGGAAAGCCTTCATTCAGAAATCAACACTAAGTATGCACCAGAGAATCCACAGAGGAGAAAAACCCTATGTTTGCCCAGAATGTGGGAAGGCTTTCTTCCACAAATCTCATTTTATTACTCATGAGAGAATTCATACTGGAGAGAAACCTTATGAATGTAGTGGTTGTGGGAAATCCTTCACTAAGAAATCACAACTCCATGTCCATCAGCAGATTCACACAGGCGAGAAGCCATATCGATGTGCTGAGTGTGGAAAGGCCTTCACTGATAGAGCGAATCTCTTTACACATCAGAAAATTCATACTGGAGAGAAGCCCTATAAATGTAGTGACTGTGGAAAAGCCTTCACTCGGAAATCAGGCCTTCATATCCATCAGCAATCCCACACAGGAGAAAGACATTATGAGTGCAGTGAATGTGGGAAAGCCTTCGCAAGAAAATCAACACTAATTATGCACCAGAGAATTCACACAGGAGAGAAACCTTATATTTGTACTGAATGTGGGAAGTCCTTTATCCAGAAATCACACTTAAATAGACATAGACGAATCCATACTGGAGAGAAACCCTACAAATGTAGTGACTGTGGGAAATCTTTCATTAAGAAGTCACAACTCCATGAGCATCATCGGATTCACACAGGAGAGAAGCCATATATATGTGCTGAATGTGGAAAGGCCTTTACCATCAGATCAAATCTTATTAAACACCAGAAAATTCATACAAAACAGAAAACCTATGTCTAGTTCATGTAACTAATGTCAATTACTACCCTTACTTTGGAGCAACCATGTTTGGTTACCCAACAGATTTTCAGGCCCCTACAAAATAAAGCAAAAGCTAGGTGCAGTGGTCACATCTGTAGTGAAGCGGAGATAGGAGGATTGCTTGAGTCCAGGAGTTTGAGACCAGCCTGGACAATACAACAGTACCCTAACCCCCACCCTCAAAAAAAAACATACAAAAAGATTACTCACATTACTTTTGTTTCATTTTTTTTGATAAAGCAGCAACTAAATAAATTCAGGACTTTTGAATTTTTTATGCCCTGAATAGCAAAATTATTAAATATGAATCCCATTTTTTTTAATTTTATTTTAATTGAGAACATACTGTACAGAGGGGTTACAATTACATGGGCAGGAAAATGCATACATTTCTTACCAAGCATTGCAGCCTCCTCCTTTGTTTACCCTTCACCTCCCTTCCCAGCCTCCCCCCTCCCCCCCACCCAATCATACCCCCCTCCCCCTCCCCCACCGACATTGTAAAGCTGGTTTTGACATGACATTTTGTACTTCTCTGAATCCCATTTTTTTTTTTGCTGGTCCTAAACTCCAGGACTGGGCTCTGTCCCTGTGTCTCTTTGTGCTCAAGGCTAGCATTCTATCACTTGAGCCACAGTTCATACCTGGATTTTTCTGAGTAGTTTATCAGAGATAAGAATCTCATCAACTTTCCTGCCACGGGCTAGGTGGCTCAGTGGTTGAGTGCTTGCCTTGCATACATGAGGCCCTGGGTTCGATTCTTCAGCACCACATAAGCAGAAAAAGCCGGAAGTGGCACTGTAGCTCAAGTGGTAGAGGGCTAACCTTGAGCTGAAGAGCTGAGGGACAGTGCCCAAAGTTCAGGCCCACAACCGACAAAAAAAAAAAAACTTTCCTGCCTGAGCTGATTTTGAACCATGATCCTCAGATCTCAGAATCCTGAGTAACTAGGATTACAGGCATGAGCCACTGGTACCTGACCCCAAAATTTTATAGCAAGATAATTGGCAAGAAATATTTTTCGTTGTCTAATCTTCCTAAGGAAATGAATCAAGTCAATTCAGGTCTATAATAAAAAGAAGCCAGTTTTTGTGAAAATTAGTACTAAAAATTCAAAGAAAGCACTTAACTGTTTTCCCTTCCTTTGGGAAATTCCCAATGTTGTTTATAGTATTTGTTGGTGTATGCTGTGGCAGTAGGTTCTCAGAGCCATATGCATGATCTCAGCCTGTGATCAATGACATAAGGAAGGATTTTATAATTTCTTGTCACTTCAGAGCTGACCCTAGGATCATAGAACTTGGCCACGGCAACCCAAATCTGGAAGATAGTACTTCAGATCCTCATCATTGTAGAGAACTGCACTTTTGCTGGGTACCAGTGACTGATGCCTATAATCATAACTACTCAGGATGCTTGAGATCCAGAGGATGGAGGTTTGAGACCAGCCCAAGCAGAAAAACCCTTGAGACTCCATCTCCAAAACAACCAGCAAAATGACATGCTGGAGGCATGGCTCAAGTGGTAGAATGCCAGCCAAGCCAGCAAGTCTTGGGAGCATAAAGCAAAACAAAAATGAAAAGAATAATAAAACTACTTTCTTACTAATTCTTGTTTGAAAAATGGGCAACTGAAGAAAAATGGGGGTGGGCTGGGAAGGTGGCTCAGTGGTAGAGCGCTTGCCTTGCATGCATGAGGCCCTGGGTTCAATTCCTCAGCACCACATAAGCAGAAAAAGCTGGAAGTGGCACTGTGGCTCAAGTGGTAGAGCACTTGAGCTGAAGAGCTGAGGGACAACACCCACGCCCAGAGTTCAGGCCCCACCACGGACAGAAAAAAAAAAGAAAGAAAAATGTGTTTCAAAACCTAGAATTCTTCCCCTCTAATACAATGAGACAAAATTGTCTGGCATTTTAGATTGTTTTATTAGAAAAAAATGCAGTTAGATACTTGAAAAAAGTATTCCTTTCCAAGTCTCTATATATTAATCTTATTTAATCGACACTGAATAATATGTGTCATAATCTTACAGAATATTGTGAATTTCTCTTTTAGAGCTACTAATTTTTGCCTTTTTTACATACATCCAAGTTTATAGTTTTTCTGCTTAATTGAAAGTATCACTCTAAATGGTTCTCTTATTGTAGTAATGGTTTTGACTTAAGTGCACTGTCAGATATGAATACAATAAGCAGACTTCCTTATTAAATTAGTACTATACCACTTCTGAACAAGAGGACTTATATGGTGTTGATGTCATGCATTTTAATTCTTCATATATTTGGCATTGCTAGTTATTGTTTCAATGTTTATTTGAATTAACCCTTCTAATGACTTTTTTTTGTCTTTTATTTTAACTGAGACCATTGCATTGCTAGCCAAGTGCTTTGCCACTGAACTACATTACAGCTCACCCTTCTCATTACCTTTTTTTTTTGGTCAGTCGTGGGGCTTGAATTCTGGGCCTGAGCACTGTCCCTGAGCTCTTCAGCTCAAGGATAGCACTCTACCACTTGAGCCACAGCACCACTTCCGCTTTTCTGAGTGTTTTATTGGAGATAAGAGTCTCACGGGCTTTCCTGCACAGGTTGGCTTTGAACCGTGATCCTCAGATCTCAGCCTCCTTAGTAGCTAGGATTACAGGCATGAACCACCAGCGTCTGGCTTCATTACTTTTTAATTCTTTCTTGTTCTGTAAGTTTTCCCCTGGAATCATTCTCCTTTGTACTGCCTTCTGTTTTGGAGGTGCTGTGCATGCTAGGAGAGCATTCTATCTCTGCATTACATTACCAGTCCCATGGGATATATTTTTTTCTTGCTTCCTGCAGTGTGGATGTAGTGGGAACAAATTCTTTTTTGTTTTCTAGAAATGCCATTTGCTCCCTCTTTCTTTCCCTCCCATCCTCCTGCCCTCCCTCACTCCCTTTCTCCTACCCTTCTCTCCCTTGTTGCAGATCCTGAAGTGCCAGGAGCTGGCAATGTGTGAGCAAAAGCTCCCAGCCATTGACTCCAACCCTGCTGGCTGCAAGTACTTGTCCTTTTATTTGAGGAAGTGTTTTTCTCAGCTTTGGGTCTGGGGGCTTATCTGAGGGAGTATGGTAGACAAAGATTGTGTGAAATAAAACAAGGAAGGATACGTACTGTCTTGCGCTTGTTGGCCTGGTGGTTGGAACAATGCGATGCAAGCATTTGACAAATACAGAAAGTGTATATAGCTGAGGCTTTTGCTGGAATAAACAGAGTTGTGCCTTCAGCCTTCTCTCCCTCTCCTTCATCCATCCCCTTTGCCCCTTGACAGCCCCTGTTCAAGCTGCCTCTGGACCCAGGCACTCTCTCCCCTCCCCAATCCTTGTGCTAGGACCTATCATATGCTAACGATATGTTTTACTCCTGAAGTATATTTTCAATCTTTGTATTGATTATCTTGTTTTTGAGCCAATACTGGGGCTTGAACTTAGGACTTTACACTTTTGGTTGACTTTCTTGCTCAAGGCTGGTATTCTACTACTTGATCCATAGTTCTTTGTCGTTTTGCCAGATAATTGGAGATAAACTATCTCAGATTTGCCCACCCTGGCTGGGTTTGAACTGAGATACTTAGATCTCAACCTCCTGAGCAACTAAGAATACAAGTGTAAGCCACGGGCACCTGGCTTCTTACATTTTCTTAATGTAAGGTTATCATTCTAGCTCTTAAGCCACAGCTCCACTTTTGGCTTTCTCTTTTTGTTTGTTCGTTTGGTAATTTATTGGAGATAAGTCTCATAGACTTTTCTGCCCTGGCTGGCTTTGAACTATGGACCTCAGATCTCAGATCTCAGCCTCCTGAATATCTAGATGATTATAGCGTAAGTCACCAGAGCCTGGCTAAGTTGCTTTTTTTCCCCCAGTCCTGGAACTTGAACTCAGGGCCTGGGCACTGTCCCTGAACTTCTTTTGCTCAAGGCTAGCACTCTACCACTTGAGCCACAGTGCCACTTCCGGCTTTTTCTGCCTATGTGGTACTGAGGAATTGAACCCAGGGCCTCATGCATGCAAGCCAAGCACACTACCACTGAGCCATCTTCCCAGCTCCTACATTTATGTTTGAAAATTACTTTTAGTGTATATGAAATTCTAATTTGGCACTTACTAATATTTTAATATTAATATTTAATTATAATCTGTCTCCCATTGAAAAATGAGCTGCCTCAGTCCTCCTATCTCAGGTTTCTGAAGAGCTAGGATTACAGGTGTGAGCCACTGATGTCCTGTTTCCATCTCTTTTGATAACAATTTCTTTGTCTTTTCAGCAGTTTTATCCTCACTATGTATAGGTGTGATTTTCTATGTATTTATCCTGCTTGGCCTTTGCAGTAGTTTGTTAGTGGGTAGGCTAGTAGTTTTAAATGCATATGGAGAAGTTCTTAGTGACGTATCTGCTTCCTTGCCTTCTCAATTTCTTCCCATTATGTAGACCCCCCTAATGATCTGCTTCTGATGACTATTGTTTTCCTTGGGTTTTGGTCATGTCTCCTCATATATGTGGGGACCATTTAAATCAGTTACCAAGCACTATGCATTAAAATTGTGGAGAGAAGATGGTCTGAATGATGTTTCCTTCCAGAGAGGATTTGCCCTGGCTTTCAACAGGGCAAGGCCAGGCACCCTATCAGTCCCTGATTGCTTTTATCCAATCATGTACTGACATTATTTGCACCTGGACTACAGTCTCCATGAAGAGTATCTGGGATTTTCTTTTTTCTTTTCTTTTCTTTAGTTGGTCGTGGGGCTTGAACTCTGAGCTTGAGCGCTGTCTCTCAGCTCTTCAGCTCAAGGTGAGTGCTCTGCCACTTGAGCCATAGCACCACTTCTGGTTTTCTGGTAGTTAATTGGAGATGAGTCTCATGGACTTTTCTGCCCAGGCTGGCTTTGAACCGTGAGCCTCAATCTCATCTTCCTTAGTAGCTAGGATTACAGGCATGAGCCACCGGCGTCTGGGTTGGGTTTTCATT